GACGAGGTGAACGAAGAAGTGGAGAAGGAAGAGGAAGAAAGGGATGAATGCACTCCTGTTTCGGAGCAACTGGTACTGTAGTTTTCACACATTACTCTGATCTTTCGGTTCGTTTTCTTTTTCAATTTCCAACTAGCGGGTCTTTTCAGAATGGTGTTTTGATGTTACAAAATCTTACTATCGATAACTGTTGCTCGGTTTCTGATTGCTGATTGTTTGTCTATGGGACGAGGAAGTGAAGGAGGACTATGGGGGATGTGACAAGGCAATCAGTATTCGCCGCGTGCGACGTCGCGCCGACGAACGATGGTGTTTCTAGGTCGTAGAAGGGACAGTGGAAAACCTGTAGTTAAAAAAAGCCCTAAATGTCTACTGTTTGTCGCAGTATACATGAATTACTACGATTCGGCTTACAAGCCATTGCAAACGAGGAAACTGCCGCGCGCGACGGAGCTGCAGATTACGCTTGCCTTGGCCGTCTCCCGGGGTATGACCTAAAAAATACTTGTGTCGTGAGTAAAGAACCCATGGTCTGCATCAAGTAAATGGTCGAACCGTCGACTTTCAAGCTTCATGAGCGAACGAAACCAATGCTTAGCCTCTCTTACATAACCGTTAATTGGTTCGTTAAGACAAACGGAGAAAAAGGCCAAAACCCCGCAGTTAATGCCGTGATGTGGTTACCTCTACCACCGTGGAACAAATGAAGTGTGATTCGCTCATTATTATGGGAAAGAAGAAAAGCGGACTGTAAACGGAAGTATGACTCAGACCGCTAGTCTTGATTTTTTATTAGCGACGAATGTGGCTGAATGGGGGAAACAGTGGCGGAGGGCGGTGTGGAAGATGGGATGGTAACGATTTCGCATTCTTATTTATTTATTTATTCACTTATTCTGCGCCCAACTAACGCGCTATGGTCAGTTGACTGATAGCGAGTGCGGTAGTTAGAACGTGGCAATATTGACTAGGACAAAAAAATAAATTAGAAAACAACTTAGACAGAGGCTGCTACAGAGGAAAACTCAGGAAAACAAAGGTGCGATAGCACTGAACTGGTAAACGCGTAAGGACAGATCTACAGATCTTAGGAATAACTCAAATGAAAAAATTTGATAGTCGAAAGGCTTACTAGCCAAGAAGTGCGCTTTGATATTGCGTGTGTGGTGCTTATGGGACAAAGGTTATGAGTACCATATAAGAAGTATCAGGAGCATCGCATCACCTCATGACCGGATGTGGCGCCCACTGCATCTGTCGGCTAAGATGCCCAGTCGCCACTTTCGGGGTCATAGGAGCTTACCGAGACTCCGAAACACGGGTACAGCGACTTCCCGTGGAAACGGCAAGCTAGTTAGAGCGTCACATGCAAACCACAGGTGTGCGTTGAGCCGGACAGTATACATTTGGTACTCACACAATAACAGGTGATATGGTGGATTACTCGTAATGAATCTTCACAGCAGCATCGAGACAGGGTTTTGGAGAGCGATTCTTCTTCTTTTCTATAGTGTTGTCCCGCACCATCGCAGTGTTCGCTGTTCTTATTAGACGTCATCCCTTGTTCCGATCCACTGCATCTTCTGCCGTAGTACTAGCTTCAGGTCCTTCTTGACGAAATCACTCCATCTTTTCTTTGAAGCTCCTCGTGGTCGCTTGCCGTGTACTTCGAGGGCCAACGTTTTCTTTATCGGTTGATCCTCAGGCCTGCTCAGTACGTGCCCCTACCATCGCAGTCGCTGCCGTCTAGCATTTAGCTGGATCTGTGTGATTACCCTAGCGTCCTCGTTTGTGATTCGCGTCGAATTGGAAACGAGGACGCAACGGTAATCACACAGATTTCAGCATCCTCATTTCAGCTGAGTGGAGCTGCCTTTCATGGTTCTTGCAGATGGGCTAGCACTCACTGCCGTAGAGCATCGTAGGCCTTACCATCTCCCAGTGCACCATACCCTTGAGCATTCTCAAGCGCCGCTGGATGCCAGAAGATGCCTGTATAACGATTTTATTTTACGTTACTTGAAGTATTTGAATTTAGCGCAGTCTCTCTACTTTTCTTCTTCTGGAAGCAACTCAGTGATTTGATAATCTGGAATGCCTGTCGTGTGTATGGTCTTTTCCTCATCTACCGTTAATTCAGCAAGAACAACTCTTTCTGTATTAACGTCCGCAACCTTGCGTGCCTCAAAACAAGGTCACAAGCCAATGTTACTATTTTCTGAGGTGTTGAAGAAATTGATAATCTGCATGCTACATTTTGGTTCTGATGAGTGAACTAAAGAGAAAGGGGCTTTTGCCGCTAGCCAATAGCTTAAGATTTCTTCACCATAGTCGGCGTTCGTTATACTTTGGCCGCCAGGAGAGGGGGGGGTCGTAGTGAGGCGCAACAAGTAACGAGCATAGCGCAAATTGTCAATGTGCTGAGTCCTGTACAACGAAACTTGCTTTGTAGAGAACTCGGATATGCAAAAAAATAGTACAAAACTTTCATTCATCAAACTAATCCGAAATAACTGCAAATATTAATAAGTCGTATCTCGTAAGTCCGTTGGTGACTAAACAGTACAACTCAAACTCTGGTTCGCTGCCAATGATATGGCGTGTCCGCGGTCGCGCTTGGCGCTGAGCCAACCTGTTTTTTTCTCGACAAGCGACAGGACTACCATATCGTTCATATATCAGACGTTTTTCCAGCAGTTGGTCTCCTTTTGTATGCGGAGTCAAGCGATTGCGAGCACAATCTGGCACGTTGCAACAGGGGACAATGTTCCCTCATACGCACGGAAAACACTGTAGACAAGTGCACAGCTCGTCATGTGGACCTCCCCTGAACGGCTATAAGACTCATTTGTTACGTGAAACAGACATTACGCAACAAGTTTGCACCCATCCCATGCACACTGCAACGGCCCTCAAGTGCGCGGCCATCTCAAATTGGCGTGAAAATCGGCGCTAAACGAACCAAGATCCGCTAACACTGCTCTCCAGCATCACAGGATTAACGTTCTAACATGAGTTCCTGGCGATTCGACACACGCTCACGAATTGAAAAAGTACACTAGAAACGCTTTTCGCGCAGCTGGGAGTGTTCCTCAAGAAATCCCCATAGCGAGATCTCATGAATCCCGAGAGCTTCAGAAACAGTTCAAGAGGTTTTCAGAAAGAGAAAATCTTCAAACACTCGGATCCGTTCTCAGATTTGTGAAATGTTGAGTTACAAAAAAAATATATTGGTTCAAACCTGTTCAACTTAAACTTCAACCCTTCACTCCCCATGGAATCCCTATGGGCAGATTTCTCTGTGATTTTTGCGACCTTCATAAACGTTTCAGTACTTTTAGGAAGTGCAAACCTTCCTCTACACGAATACGGTCTCCTCTTCCCCACAGGTCCGCTTTTGAGGAAGTTATGGTCCTTCAAAGACACCCTACTTTGCTGAAAATTCTCGCTCCATGGCTAAAATTGCCGAATGATCTGCGGTCACATCTGCAATTACATGCGTATTCTGCTACCGTACTCCACATAATCGGAATAATGCATTTTTACGGCGGTTTGTATAACTGTTACGTAGTGAGACAAGCCTAACTTTCTCTTTTCCTCGTCCTCAATCTTGGGAATAGACGTTGTTTAACGCTGTGGTCGCTGATGGCCGCTCCCAGAGAGGGAGTCCACGTCAGGTTAACGATCCCATATGATTTAATCGCGATACATCGTTATTATTACCATGTGTTTTCAAAACGTGCCATCGAAGAAGTTCATCATACGAGTTTCTCATAATACGATTGTATCCGTGTTTTTGTTTATGCAAATCGTCTCTGTATTGTTCTATTATGTCATGACTTCAAGTCGTCCATTTAGTATGGGCACCTTCATACAAGTAGAATTTCATAGTGGGCGTTTCATAGTTTCATTTAAGGCGAAAAAAACCGAACGGCAAAAAAAGGGGGGGTCGTACCGAACCCCCAAAAAAGGGGGGGGTCGTACAGGCTCGACCAAAATCCCCATCGAATGCTGTGCCCTGTTCGCCCAGCCAATAGCATTAAGATCTTCTCAACCATAGTCGGGTTGCGTTAAACTTTGGCATTGCTCAATGAAAGGCCCTCTCGTTTCATCAGGCTGTTGCTGTTAATTAGGTGTCGCGGAAAGTTTGAGAAAATTTCAACTTTTAATTCGCAAAAAATTTCGCAAACAAATGCCCTACAGAAACGTCACGAGTGCCCCATAACAGAACGTCTTATATCAATAGCTATGTGAAAGGAGAAATGTTTTAGATCAGTCTCAAAGTGCCGATTAACAGTGTATTCGTTCGCATTTGTATGGTTTCGACATTACCGCATGAAGGTCGGGAGAAGTGGAGAGGGTCATGAGTGTCCGGATCGCGTTGGGCAGACCGAACGGGGGGCGGTGTAATGTGGCGAGCGCGCAAACTCCCAACACCATTTACTTCATCTTCACCGTTCTCGCTCCTCTATCGGTCAAATCGGGAATGAGGACCGCCTCCGATGCCGGATAAAAAGCGCTTCAAAGTTATCTATACTAGGAGATCAATCGGTCTCTTCCATGGAAGTTTAGCTTAGATGTTGCGTACGCCCCCTCATTCTCAGTACTCGCTTAGTTCTAGCTTTCCACGCAAGGTGATCCCGCCCAAAAGGTAAGGGACAATATTTATTATAACTATGATCTCATAGTTGTTGATAAGTGTTGAATGAGCTGGTTAAAATTTCTCAAAACCTCCTGGACACCCTAATAGTTTGTTGGTGCCCTTGGGAATAATGCTGGCTGAAGTGTACGAACCCGCCCAGCAGTTAAAATGGCCCTTGCGGCCCCAAAAAAGTCGCGCACCTTGTAATCGAGCAGCAAACAACTGCATGACCTGCAGTGTGGCTTTTATTCACATCTCATGTCAGGGTTACTTCGCATAAGAGCACAACACTTGTGATGAAGGTGAACTTATCACAGTTCTGCTTCTGCTTATCCCAGTTTTTGTCGAAATATATCTGATGGCAGAAGTGCCTGGCGATCTAGAAAGAGGGAAGGAAGGAAATGGTCAGCATGATGTCATCGCGTTATTTTCCAGAAAGCCTGATTAGTTATCTTTTATTTTTCTTATTTCAGTACCGCTTACCATAAGGCGTACGTTCACTGGCGCTAGAATGAGGAGAATTCAATTTTTAAGGTGCTCCATCCTCTGAAGCAGAAATGGACATATTGGTATTTGAACGACGATCGTCAGGCATGTTGGGAAGATCGTCTCAAGCCTGTATGTACGTTCAGCACTGTTGAGGAGTTCTGGGCGTAAGTGTCAAGTACCTTCTATGTCAGATTCTCTACAATTGTATGACTGAATCTCAAATTGTCTTGTTTGATAAGTTTCAGGCTCTACAACAATATCCGGCCTCCTTCTGGATTAAGCTGCTTGTGTGACTACAATGTGTTCAAATATGGTATTCAGCCAATGTGGGAAGTACCAGAGAATCGCAAGGGAGGACGCTGGCTGATCACTGTGAGCGATCACATTATATCGTTTAGATTGGTCTATCTGGTATCCCTTTTGCGGCCTATCATACCAGCATTTCAAACGCTCATGTCTCATGTGACCAAATAACTATTTTCCGAGTATCTTATACAATAGAGGATCGTACATCGATCAATACACATCAGCGAATCGGAACAGCCTAGCCGATTAGTTTTTTCGGTTTAGTAGTACTTCTGCCCCTATTGCTTTACCTTTAAGGGTCACCGGTTTGAAATGGGAACATTGTGGACAGATATTTAGAAAAAGCAGTACTTCAATACACTATCCAACAGCTGCGCGATTTCCTTTTCTTGTTGCTGAGTCGTCGACAGAAGATTTGATACGTATCGATCCAACGTAACCGTCGTACTCGGCAACAGAAGATTCAACGTTGATGACGTCGGATATGAAGGCTATGCCGGATCTATACGTATCTAATCTTCTGTCGCCGTTTACGTCAGCCATGCCGGGTGGACACGTATCAAACTTTCTGTCGCAGATTACGTCCATAGACCGCGTTCAGACTTCGCGATCCAATCGCCCGAACACTCCAATCGCGAAGTCTAAACGCGGTGTTACGTCGACTCTTGCGACAATGTTGTGAGGCATCAATGCAGCCTGAGTGTGAATATGTTCTCCTTCAGATCGAAAAAGGACGACCAGGAGAGATCATGGATTTGATTTGGCTAGAAATCCTGATTGCGATGATTGGCGAGCAGTTTGGTGATGACATGGAACTTATTTGTGGCCTAGTTTGCAATGTTCGTGGCAAAGGAAGCAAGGTAATATCAAGAGTTCGTTTACCATCGCATAGACCGTTCAAAGTACCTGTCTAGATTAGCATGTGGACAAAGGATTGGAGTGCAGAAGAAGGAAATATGAGGATTGGGTGAGTTTTTAGTTGTTGGAACTGTCTTGCTTTCGCCCACTACTTCTTTTTTTAAACGTTGTGTAGGTGCTAGTGCTAGACATTTCCTGCAGTATGAATTGCCTTTTTCTCACCTTTACTAGCTTTTCAGACAAGTTCTAAAGAATAAACTTCTCGGCGCAGAAGTTCCTCCTGGTTGCACAACACCGTTGTTCGACTGGTTGAAATACGAAGATCACGATAGTTGTCAGAAAAAGAGTGGAAGTACTGTTAAGGTAAGTCCGTTATGCGCAGTTTGATTTATAAATTTGTCATTAAATATGTTGAAAGCATACTTATGGTGTGTTTATGAATGTTCATTTTAACTCTGTCATTTCATTTTTTTGCCAAAGTGCGGCCATACCAAGGGTGCCCTCGGTAATTTGTGGTGATTTGCCTTGGATCTTCATATGTAACACTTTTAAATAACAGGGAAATATGTGTAAGTCAAAGTGGCCACCCATAATGAAATGCAGGCCGTCTGATGGTGTCAATAGAGCATAGTATTAGGATATTTCATCTCCACAACTATAGTGGGCCCCATAACGAATCTACGGCTTTGATATGATATTTCTTGTCCGTCGCCAACGAGATTTTCAGGTGAACATTTAGGTCTAGCATTTCGACCAACCTCGTTGGCAGAGAAGAGCGCTATCGTTCACGACAATGCCGTGCTTATAGGAGGAGAGAGCCTGGAGACAACTGAAGATACAGATGTTTTTCTCAGGCGACAGCTTCCCAACGAATATAATTTCGGCGGAAGGTCATCGTTCATACTTCGCGTCGCGCGTCGCGTTCAACGCGACTCGATGGCAGTCGAAAGCATGCGCATCGATCGCGTCGAATGCGCAACCGAAGCGTTGCAGTCGCGAAGTCTGAACGCTGCCTATGGCTGCTTCGACTGTGGCACCGCAGCCCGGTGGTGATACGGTTAGCCTCACCTATACAGCTCAGCTGTGTTTTGATGTAACTTTTCTCACGTTCAAGCAGCTTTAGCGCTTCACCTTCTCTCGAGGCGGGGTTGCTTCGTAAAAACTTCCGCATATCCGTTCAGAGAAATTCGCTACAGAGAAGGAAGGCGGATTAGTAATCAACCCTCGATGACAGTATACATCCTTCTTCAAACAGCGGCCTACTCTCCTTTCCGAGTGAGCAATATGGCGGCTGACTTCCTATTCGCTACTTAAATAGGCTTCGCCCGGCATTCGCGGCCGGACCCGATCTCCTAAACGAAGCCGTGTTGCAGCACGTCGACTCTCTCGCTCACACTGCATCTGCATCTTTGAAGTCGACTACCTCTCTCTGCCAGTATCCGCTCAACTAGCTAGGAAATGTTCTGGTAGTGTGCGCGATGCCGCGACCCGAAAATAACGCTCCACGCCGCCCGCCTTGTGAGTGGGTGCTCTACAAGTGGTACACTAATTGTGTGTATTGCATAAAAGTGAAGTTCAGAACGAACTTTCTGTGATGTCCAACAGATTGCGGCCCGCCGCACTGCGCACATCCCCGCTGCATATTTAACCATTTTTCCCTGAGTAACGCTCCAGTAGTACTTCCCTCCCTCTTTTGATCGCTTGTGAGATAAGTATCTTCCGTCGCCGAGACGCTCCAGTGTTTTGACAACACTGGAGCATGAAAGAAGAGCCAAATTAATTGAGTCAAAACGCCACATAGACACAAATTCATGATACGCCACATGTGGCAACGCGATCCGGAATCGTGTGTGTCAATACACTTCCTTCATTTATTATAGCTCGGTTTGATATCGAAATCATTTCAGGCAAAGTTATCGATATCAGCTGTGAATCAAATGCCGGAGAGGAACTGAACTAGTCTGCAGATGTTTTGATATACTATGAGATTATGACATGAGATGTTTAGTTATGACAATGTTGTTGATTTTACCTAATTTTCTGGAACGATCTGGTTCAAAGGACATTTCTGTTCCTGCCTTATGGGGTCCTGAAGCTGTTTCTGACTTTTTCGGAGAGTGCACGGGTATAGCTGCGTTCTTTGTGAAAGCGGGATAGATCAGTCTAGTGTTCTCTTCGATGAAATTTCACTATGATATTCGCTTGGTTCGATCGATAAACGCTGATTGTTTGCTTTTAATAAATATAGAGCCTGGGCTTTGTTACAGCATTCATACTGTCGGAGACTTGGCGTTTTAACAAAAAATTTAGTTCGGAAAATGGGGATGCGATCTGCGAGAATGTGATTTGGACTGACACAAATGAGATTCAAGTCTTGCTTATACAGGACTCGTAGAAAAGAACAGCGCTAGCTGTAATTCTGATGAACTGACTCACTATATGCGAGGTGTACAGGGGAAAAGGCAATTTTCTTCTCGTCTTCAAGAGCGAAATAAGCTGCATTCTATCAAACTGTTGTTGGACACTTCCACCATCAAATTCAAGAACACTATCGTGCACTATCAGGAAACTCCGCCACAACTTTCCGGATGAGCGCCATCGAGAGATTCTGCCACGCGACCGTGATTCGGGGCCTGAGTTCGAGGTCGTGAATTCCCCACCAACATAGACTACTGCGTTGAGCGCCAGCGTCAGACCCTGGTAATCGGATGGGGGGGGGCTTTGTGAAGGATGGACATAGTGGTGGCCCTCCTCCAGCCACAAACGTTTTGGTTCTCCTTCTTTGGGCTTCTAAGCTAGCTTTCAGCAAGTTCTGTCCAGAAACACTCTTAACACAACGCTCTACTGGGTCTGGCAAATATGATATTGAGCAGCGCTCCGACACTGTATTGACGGTCGATTTCTGACCACATCGGACTACTCAATTTCTCGAGGCTTTCTTCTGTGGCTAGATTCGTCAAACTTCACAGATACACAGCTGAAGCTTTCGAGAGATATAGAAGTCAGCAGCTTGGCCGCCTTGCTGTTCCTGCATTACGTACTAGATGTCTCTACTTTTTCGGAGAAATGACATAATTTGTAAGCGCGACGGCGCCAGCGTGTGGTAGACACAAGGCACATCACAGAGATTTGTGTAAGGCAGTTCATACTCTGCGACGGCAGCGCTTCGGTCGCACATTTGACGCGATTGACGTGGTCGAAAGCATGCGCATAGATCGCGGCGGACGTGCGATCGAAGTACTGCCGGCTCGGAGTGTGAACGCAGCCTAATGGCGGTGTCGGTGCCACTAGCCTTTCGCAACCAACCGAACGAACTCCGACACATTGGTCTCTTAACCAAGTTTTTCAAAACTGCTCGATAGTGGCGAGTGTGAAGGGAAGGGGGTGAGGAGGTCAACCTGAAATGTTGAAAGTAACCGTCAAAAAACTCTTAATGCCAAAGACAATCCCCTCCTGAAGGAATTCGCACAGCGGTAGTGCACTTCGCGAAGTCACTCTTGATTCGAACGGGAAGTAGGGAGAGGTGCTTAAACGAGTTCTTGTGCTGCCTGCCCTCTCTTAGGCAGCGTTCATTCTTCGCGACAGCAGCGACGATCGCGGCGACCTCGGCAATCGCCGCGATCGTCGGTACAGGAGAGAGCGCGCCCCAACGCTATTACTTGCGCTCCGAAGGCTTTTGGGAAGAAGCGACTCAATTTCATGCTTTTTTCCTTTAACTGCAATTTTCTTAGATACTGAAGCTTGGTTTGACAAAAAGAAAGGTGAACCCAACTAATGGCTTTGTTTTCTTATGTCCTCTCGATTTCAGGATAGAAATGAGCAAAAAGCATGAGGGCTTTATTTGGGGTAGGTTTTTATTGTTTCTTTTTCCATTCGTCGAGCTTATACATAAGTTTGTAAAATTTTGACCTGTCTGTGTTGCGTAAAATGATTAGTGTTTTGGTTCCTAGGTGAATTTCTCTCTGTTTTTTTTTTCTTCGTTGTTTGAACTCGACTTGTAAGCTATAAATGTTTTGGAAGTTGAAACAGTTTAGACGACAGAAACTTTTAAGGCGCTTGCATAAAGTGAAGCAATAAGAACAAAAGAAAAACAAAAGAAGCCCACCCAGGAAATGGAGTTGGCCTGATCCCGACCTAAAAAGAAATGAAACCTAATCACCTCACATTCCAGATCCGCTTATGTATAGAAAGTCGTAAGTTATCAGTAGTATCCGTAGTAGCAGTATAGTAGTAGCCATCATTAAGAGAAAAGAAGGTCTCACAAGTTGGATTCCCTTATTTATCAAGCGAGCACTCCATAATATCGTTGGGGCGCGCTCTGCCACGTACCGACGAGCGATCGCCGAGGTCGCGAAGTATGAACGCTGCCTTATGGTCAGTGATTCTCTGCAGTCTTGTTCGCTGCTAATGAAAAAGCGTTTATGTCGGGAGAGTGATGCTGTTTGGACGCACTGAGTTTCGGCTGCTAGCGTCATCTATCAAGCCTATGTTGAAACTTTGAGTGGAAATTTGCTTTCACGTGTAGTTGGACCTCCAGAGCACGAATATGACATTCGCTCAGATCCCGAATGCCGCCTCGCCAAAGCGCCGAACTTGAAGGAATCGCTCCTTCTCCTTCTGTCGGGAACCACTCCTTCTTCCACAAGCAGCCTGGATGATCGTAGTGTTCTCCATTAGCGCTGAGAATGAATGTCATATTCGAACAGAGTGTCGAATAATACCCGTATACCAGTTTCAGCCGATATCTCTATTTAGCCTAACTTGGGGACGGCGCCTGTGACGCGGGTACCAGACTCTTTTCTGACGAGCCAGTGTACCAGGCCCTTTCCGGCGAGCTATTCGTGCTCAGGAGGTCGAACTACCCGTGAAAACAAATTTTCAGCGGACGTGTTAACATAACTCTCCATCAGTGACGCCAGCAACCGAAACTGCGTGCGTCCAAACGCCATTACTCCAGCCGGTATAAGCTTAAAGCGCGGAGAGCCGAACTCTGTTTCTCACAACACAGTTGCTGAAACGGGTGAGGCTATAATATTTGGTGGAAAGCGACATGATACGATCCGATAGCCGAAGCAGTTTTTTACTTGTTTTCAAAAGTTGTGTTTTTAACTTTGTACTCGTACGTCTCGGTGGACAACGGGTCTGGCACCGCGCTAACCCCATCCCACCTAACATGGTTTTGATTTGCAGCAAACAAGACTGTACTTACACAGAAACACACCGCCATCGTGCTCACCGTTAGCTCTGTGGACCCTGCTCCCCCAATCTGCAGAAGTATGGACCGCCTAATCTTAGGGATGGTCGCCAGGTCGAAGTGACCATTTGTACACTCGTAATCCCTGAGATGGGGTAGGCGTGGCTGCGTACGTCGACTAAACTTGGCGGTGACTGTGCTTCTGGTGAGATTATTTTTCATTTCGGCAAGCTGTTATAATGCTTCGTTCAAGCCAAGTGACAGTCGTATCAAGCTGAAATGGCCCGCGAGTAATCCATCCCATACTACGCCCAAATGCCACGCTACTCCATCTCAGGGATAGGGGTGTAATGAGATGTACACATACACATCATACAGGAATCAAATAATTAAAGGCAGTTGGCACCATAAACCCCTAAAGACGAAAAGGATTAGTACCACTGGCATTGCAGAATTCCGCGAGCCTGAATAGGCGCTGCGTAACGCCTTTTCCAAGGAGGGTACCTTATAGCGCCTATTGAGCAGCAGCATATCGACCCGGACGCCCAGCTCGCCCACCCGTCTACCACTAGACATGTAGCATCACAGCACGAGGACGTGCCGTTGTGGACCGCCCGTGTCTACGTTTGTGGACCGCACGTGCCTACGTGTTAATGTAGTGTAACGTAAAGCGACGTAGAACGTAGTGCTGGCTTTTTGCCAGCAGTAAACAATTCAATCGGCAAGACTCGTCCGAAGCAGCGCCCGCCTCACCCATTCGCCGGTTCACGAACGCGGCTAGATTCCGCACCCGACTGTTACCACGCGCGCGCAAATTTGAATACAAACCGTAGTTTGAATTATCTTCCCGCGCGCACATTTCAACACAAGACAGCACTTTGCTTGAAGCTTTCTCTTATCTAGCGATGGGGACTTATTCATGGAGCTGTTTTTTCACTATTCTGCTGATTCATGGAGCGGTTTCTTCACTATTCTGCTGTTATTCGCTATTCTGCTGCCCTATGCGTCCAGATCACCGACACTGCTAGTGAATTCTTCCTGGTTCTACAAGTCTGTTCTTCAGCTGTCCACTGGATCTGCTATTCACCACTGTGGTATTTTTTCTGTGTATTCTTCACTGTTCTGCTACTCTTTCCTCCACGCCACCATATCTGACAGGTAAGACGTGATCATTACTCCGCTAATGATTTCTAGACAGTTCCTCTTTTGCATGCAAAGCTTCCTTGAAGTTTTTCCTAAAGTTTTTTCCTAGCGTTCTTTTTTTGACGGAATGGCATTTTCACTGTTCATTTAGCATCAAAGGTCGAACTTATTTCTCTGAAATAGTTATTTCTCTTTCCAGTTATATCACTGTATCTGTCTTATGTTGCTCGCTTAAGAGGACTCATATGGTCAGGTTTCTTTCGTGCTTTCCATGGGTTGTCGCGAGGAACTGCTACGCGAACCCCTTGTGAAGTCTCGAGATAGCCTGAAAAGGAAAAGGTGCCTGAGTCCTCAGAATATCTGTCCACCGCTGAACCTCCCTCAACCTTCCGTTTTCCTTTCTCCTTCCTGCTTTTCCATTCACCCTTCCTTCATTCCTCTTCCCACCTCACTTGCTTATTTCCTTCCTCCCAATGTTCGACCAGAAGATGCGATGACAAAATACCTCTAGACTCTCGCAGGCGAGAGAGCATCCGGTTGATAGGCTAAGAATGTTTCGTAATCTTTACAATCCATTCAACACTGTCGACCCCACCTCGACTGCTTGATCTACTTAGCGCTGAGGCTAATTACGTCCAAACGCAATCAACATGGCTCCTCCTCCTACTTATGCGACATGTCCAGAATGTAAGAAAGTTATGCTAAAGAAAAATTTCTACTCACATCTCAGAGTCGTCCATCACAAGCTTTCGGAAGAGGTGCTGAGAATCCGCGAAGAGCTGAGCAGGGAAGCAGGTCTGGCTAAGGTAACTTGTCCATTGTGCAAAGAGGTGTTCACTACACACGAAGGGCTGGCGCAACACTGCCAGGCGAATCACTCTGAGGAAGGCGCCGGTGGACGGCCGCAAAACTACTCTATTATAACAACAACTTTCGCAAGCCGTGAAGAGTATGAGGTGCGATTATAGTTACGATATTTTGATACTACTTTTACTAGTCATGATTATTACTATGACAAGAAATATAAATGTTTATTAGCGCTGGTTCACGCAAATATGTGAAGAGACTTGCACGACGCTCTCCAGAGAGCACACGAAGACTAACGGTTTCCTCATCTACGCATAGATTTTTGTAAGTTACGTTTAGAATGGGAAAATGACTGCTGCATTACTGCTCTTGATCAGGTGCAACCGAGCTGGTGCGCGCATGCCCACTGGAACGCAGAGAGTTGGCGCTAGCAAAAAGGATGTCAGTCACTGTTCGTGTCACTTAGTGGTCAACTTCATCGAGGATGGAACAGTGACGGCGAAAGGATGTCTTGGACACGTAGGGCACGAACTGGATCCTGCTTTGCTGAGATTCTCCCATCCAGCAGAGTATATACTTAAGGAATCTGCTTGAAGGTAACTTGTTTTGTCTTTGCAGTATCTCTGACCTATAAAATTTATTTCAATCCAGAGCATTCTATGGACTATATCATAGACCGCCTTCGCAAGGAAGACCCAACAAAGTCCACTAAGCTCTCGTTCGTTGTAAAGCGTGATCTACGCAATATCATACAGAAGTACAATATGGCTCCAGGATGGAGACATAATGACGACCTTACTTCCTTGCAACTGCGCTTTGAGGAGCGCAATCCAGACGATGGAATCAGGTGTCTTGCAGCTACCCGAAGATCCCAGTGGAAAGGGGTTCCTGTTGGGTAAGAAAGAATTTGACGCCAACTATCTAGCGTGACATTATTCAGCTACCACCCCAATATCTCAAGAAACGATGAAGAATTTTTTCACTTTTGTTACTTGACACATAAACTCAAGCTTAGGTTTGCTACCGACACATATATGACTCCACCCACTTCACAATGAAGTGACATAAGTTCTGAATTTTTATAACTTTTTCATTTTTTCTTTTTTTTCACATTCGACTTTCGTATAAATATAGTCATGCATTTACACACTAGCACATCGAGCTCCGCCCCTCTGACCACGCCCACTTTCGTTTTTCGCGGAATTTTGATTTTTCTCACGAATTTTCGCTTTTAAACATTATGACAAGCGGCCCCAATTTTGATTTTTCTCACGAATTTTCGCTTTTTAAACATTATGACAAGCGGCCCCGCCGTCACAATATTTAAATGGTCTGGGACGTTGCCCCAACTGCCTCTCTTCCACAATTTCGCTGAAACAGCACATTTTTGCTTCATCTCCGTCCGGGTGTGTCGTTAGGTCCGCCCGGCAGAAAACTCGTCCAAAGGGACCCTCCTTTGCCGGTTTTTTCGCCAAGTGTGTCGTTAGGTCCGCCCGTCGCCCCCTGAGTGCCGCCCAGCCGGAAATCTCGTCCAAATCTCGGGAAAACTCGTCCAACTAGTAACTCGTCCAAATCTCAGGGAAAACTCGTCCAACTAGTAACTCGTCCAAATCTCAGGAAAACTCGTCCAAATTCGGGGAAAACTCGTCCAACTAGTAACTCGTCCAAATCTCAGGAAAACTCGTCCAAATTCGGGGAAAACTCGTCCAACTAGTAACTCGTCCAAATCTCAGGAAAACTCGTCCAAATTCGGGGAAAACTCGTCCAACTGCCCCAGTCCGCCGAAAGACCTCTCCCGCAGAGATCCGCCCACTCCGGAAAACTCGTCCACCGCCCCAGGGGGAAAACTCGCTCACTGCCCCAAGAGCTAGGCGCGCCGCCCCACCGGGTACCGCCCACTTCGGAAAACTCGTCCAGTGTGCCGAGTGCCACCCTCGTGAGAGGTTTCAGCAAAATTCCTGGTATTTTTGGCAGTAATAGGTGAAATAATGCCCACATAATTTGTCTCATAATTAGCCGATTGCAAACAATTCAATTGTAATAACGCTACTGATGCTCGAGTGGTTAGCAAAGTATTTTGGAAGAGGAGTTTCGCTGGACGACACATTTCATACAACCAGATATAATTTAAGACTAGTCACCCTGATGGTATCAGATGAGAAGGATCGCGGTCTCCCAGGAGGGTCAGCACAAGTAGTTATGAAGTTACATCTATGAACATTTTCAGCCTTTCTTCCCAGTGGAACAATGACAAAAGCAGATGTCCAGAGGTTGTTCATGGAAGTGAGGAGTTTATTGCCCAATTTTTCCCCTACGACCATGATGACAGATGAGGCCCGTGTTTCACAATGGATTCTGTGCTGTTCTCCCGGAAGCGCGTACACGGCTTTACTTTTGCAGGTTCCATATATGGCAAACGTGGGAAAGGAAAACAATAGAGCTTGTGAAGGTTTGTGGGATTCCGTGTTCGGTATTGAAAAGAAATAAAAAGTGAGAATTCTAGGCTTCATTGCGCCCGAAGGTCAACAGCGCACTCCAGCTTTTGCTAAAAGAGGTGCAACTGGACGAGTTCGAGAGGCGTTTCGCGGAAATACTTGTGTATCTCCGCGAAAAAAATCAAGGGCTCATGGCTACTTATCTTGAGAGGAACTACCTTGGTACTAGTTTTTACTATATGGTGGATACTTGAGATAACTTTATGATGTATTGCTTGCCAGAATGAACACCGAGTTGGGCTTAGTTTGCGAATAAAAATGCCATTCTCGACACCACTATGATAAGTGAGAGGTTCCACTTGAGAATCAAGGATGAGTTCCTGCATCGGAATGCCAATTCTCGCCCGGACGGCTTTGTTGATCTACTAATAAAGGTCGCTGAAGATCTCTCGGACGCACTGGAAGTGAAGGTGGAAATATAGATGCGCAATCTTTTTGTTAACATTACACCACATTATCATAAGATGATCTCACCGTTGCAGGACCGCCGCCGATTCGCTGACTCTGCATATAGGTTGCAAGAAACCCACAAGCGGCACAGAAGTGCAGCAACTTTATGCGCAACTAAAGCGGACATGTGTGTTAGTGTGGGAGAGAACAAGTGGCAGGTCAAGAACAGGGATTCCACGAAAAGCTTCGAAGTTACGTTTGAAGGACCGTGTGACTGTCACGCTACGGTAATAACAAGCATCTTCAATTTCTAATATCGGCTTTATGAAATGCATTCAGAAGAACACACACTGCCTCACGTGCGGTGTTTGCGCCTATGCATGGAGCTGCACATACATGGATAACAGGAAGCAGCATCAGCTGTCTTCACAGACATGCTGTCAAAATACTTAATCAAGACACACTATCAGTTGAAACAGTTGAAACGGCAGGTTACAACATCTCGAGAAACTGCCTCCTCCGTCCGCCTTTGGAAGCTGATTCAGATGCGCCGATAACGGTAGCACAAGAGCGTCGTGAGGCACGCTACCAAAAACTGAGTGCTATCAAAAGCGTAAGTACTCATGACTAAATGACGTTATCTAGTTGAAGGTCACATAATTATTTTCAGACATATGCTGTCGTAGAAGCTGCCGCCACCTCGCTGGCTAAAGTTGACACAGATGAAGCAATGGAACAGCTGGAAGAGATCTTGTGCTACCTGCAACTCGCAGCAGGAATAGCACAACCTCCATCGTCCAGTTCATTGGCCGTTCTCCCAGAGTTGGCACAAATTGGGGGCAAGCCGCAGTTGACGAAAGTGCAACT